CAGTGCCCCCGCCGGGCCGCGGGGTCTGGGCTGGCGGGGCCGTTAACGCCTCGCTGCTGTCGCAGGGGTTTAACGCTTATTCTGTTTTATTTTATTGTTATTTTATTTTTATTGTTACTTTTTTTTTTAACCAGGGAAACTGCGTTATGCCAACAACAGCAACTACAAAAATGATGTCATGATCAGAAAGGAGGTATGGTGCTTGGCCCGTGACATGAAAATGTACCGGGAGTTTTTGTAACACTGTACAACTCGCCTGGTATCTTCAGTAAAGATGAGCTCATTTGCCTTGCCTGTATATTGCAGTTTAGTAGTCTGGCTGTTCTTAAAAACAAGTGTTGTATTTGAAATTAGAGGATGACTCTACTTGAGTGTTCTAGCTTATGTGAGTAAAAACTGTAGCATGTTAAGATGATGCTTGTGTTTTTTCATGCTGAGTTTTTTTTTTCTAGGCTTATGTTCATAAGAGTGTGATGGAGGAGCTAAAGAGAATCATTGATGACAGTGAAATTACAAAAGAAGATGATGCTCTGTGGCCTCCTCCTGATAGAGTTGGTCGGCAGGTTGGTGCTCAGTGTCTTTTTCCAATCGCTTTTCTAGCTTGTGTGTGTGTTACCTAATTAGTTGGAAGTGTAACTGAACTTTTTTTTCAAGCAACTGTTGTCTTTAGTAAAGAATTTTTTTTTAAATGTGCACAGTGTCAAAAGACAACTTAGACGATTAATCTGAGGGTTAGTATGATTCACGGATGTATTGCATTCGTGCCCTTGAAATAAAAAATGGTAGAGCTGTTTTCCCAGTACTTATATCTGTAGCTGATATCACAAACAGTAATTTGATTTCTTGATAATCTTTTATTTTGTAGGAGCTTGAAATAGTAATCGGTGATGAGCACATCTCTTTTACCACATCAAAAATCGGTTCACTCATAGACGTTAATCAATCCAAGTACGTACTCTGCTTTTTTTGTTGTTGTTCTTATGTGAAACTTGCTGATTAGTCAGTAGATATATTTTGTGCCTCTAAAAACTGATTTGTAATTGAAAGAACAAATGTGTTGGGAGGTCTAGCATAACATATCAAATGCTTTTAGAGAGTGTGTTACTATTTAATATATTTTTAAATTTGCTGAGCTAGCCTTACCACAGGAACACTTGTTAGATGAATCTGTGGCTCTGGTTAGACCTAAGAGTTTGGTATTTCATCTAAATGCAGACTGGATATTGTGTTTCCTAAGTGCAGGTATGTTACTACTTACTTTCATGTTGAAGATACTCATTTTGTGACTTGGAATACAAAATGATATTTTAATCACTGCAGGATATAATGAATCTCTTATGTCTAAGATGACCTTTGAGAAGTTTGACTGTAGGCTTTAAAAAAAAAATAGTTCAATAAACTGTGTTCTTAGAACATCGGTTTAACTTTTTAAATTCTCTTGTTCTACATTGCAGGGATCCAGAAGGCTTGAGAGTGTTCTACTACTTGGTTCAGGACCTTAAATGTCTAGTCTTCAGTCTTATCGGACTACACTTCAAGATTAAGCCAATTTAAGATTAAGCCAATTTAAGTCGTACAAACTGAAATTTGTATCGTAGTGTGTATGGGGGAAATGCCGTTTCTATTTCTTACTGCTTTGCAACTTTTATGTATGTTAGAATTTTTTTTTACAAGCTTTAAGTGAATGTCTTTAATAAAATGGTGCAGTCTGTATTTTTAATTTAAAAGTTCTGGCGATAAATTGACTTTCTAATACTTCTTTTGTTACAGTTCTCAGGATACGTTCTTTCACGTGTAGTTTACATGTATTTTTCTTTCTGTGTGGTACTAGAAAATGAAATTGGGCCTTGCCCCAGGTCATTAAGTTTTTGTCAGCTGACAGACTAAACTTGTTACTGGTCTGGATCCTGAATGGTGCCCAGCTCAAAAATTCAGAGTGGCTGAAACTTTGTCTCCACATATGATAACTCATTACAGTGCTGTGAGTACCCACACACCTTTAGAGTAAAGAAAGGCTGCAGATGGCTTCTGTGCTGCCTTCTATCTTCACTATTCCCATCCTCCTTTCCTTAAAGATCTCTTTAAAAGCATGAATGTATTTCCTTATATTCTAGACAAACAGATCTTTTAAGCAATGCCTCAACTTTGAAGTGGTAATTTTTCCAAAGTGCTGTTGGAAGGAAATGTGTGGTTTTCATGGCAAATACAAACTTAAACTGAATTTGTCTGACAACTGCTGGTGAGACAAGGAAGACTGTTCACAACATTTATAAGCCCGAGCAGGCTTGAACGCAGAAGAAATCTACTGCAAAGACGATATTGAGAGAATGGGAAAACTTCTATAAAGCAGTTCTACTTTGAAAAAAATGCCACTGCACTTCCCTGAGACACACTAAGCTTTTAGATGATTTTTATAGTGCAAATAGAATCTCATCATAACCAGAGAGGGATTAATTAGCAACTTGTCTTGGCTGTGAAAAGTCTAGTTTAGCTCTTGTCAAGCTTCTGACCTAACAAATGCGTAAAATAATATTTTTAACATAAAATGTTGGGCTCAAGAAAAATAGCCCAACTTAGTTACAGCTTACTATTGCCAAAAGGCTATTCACCAAAGCCAGTGGCACAAATTCGGTTTTGTGCCTGACTGTACCCTCTGGAACTAAAACCAACACAAATTAGTTGATGTTGATCTTGAAAGGATTAACTTACTGTTCTTAAAAATAGTTAAAAGATACCAGTTCCTAGAAAAGAGAATGAGGTGTGTACTCATGTTTTATTGTTTAAAATTCACGTTATGTTTTCATGCTGCTCTCAGGGATGTCACTATACATTTCTAGCTGCTTGTGATTTTCCTCTGCTCCCCTCTCAGCTTTTCCTAAATCAGTAGCCAGGGAGATTTAAAAATCACATCGCTTCTATCACTTCAAATCGCTTTTAAAAAGGTCAGCCTTTTTAAACCTAGAAGGTAGCTACCTGATCGCCCTTCCCCAGGCGACTCCTCCCGCCCCGGACAGCCTCGTCCTGTCTGTCCCTTCCCGGCCTCCGCCGTCTGCCCCGCGGTGCCATCTTGGTTGAGGGCAGCGTCGGCTTCAGTCCGCAGCCTGCAGCGGAGGCCGCCGCCATCTTGGGTAAGGGCGCGCGGGAGGGTAGGAATCCACCAACGCCCGCCCCGAGAGGCGGCGGCCCGGAGCCTCCGAGGCCATGGGGGTAGGTTGGGGGCCGCGGTAAGGGGCGACAGGGCCGACCCAACCAAACCTAGCCTAACCCAACCAAACCATCTAACCGTGCTGTCCCCGCCGCTTGCCTTGCAGAAGATCGGGCTGCAGCTGCGCGCCACGCTGGAGAACATCACCCGCCTGCGGGCCGAGGGCGAGGATTTCCGCTGGTACCTCAAGGTGCGGCCGCCCGGGAAGGGCGCTTGGCCTCTTTCTGTCTGGCCTCTGGGCTGCCGAGGCGGGCGCCAGGCGGGGGAGGTCTCTGGTGCTTGCTGCTCGCCTTGCTCAGTTCCTGCTTCAAATGCCAAATGTTATTTTTCTTCGCAAGAAGGGCTGCTGCAACCAGGAGCAACTAGTGCAGAGATACGTGAATATAATATATACACAATATAATTATATATAAATGTACGTATATACCTAAATATAAACACACATATATAATGCATTATATGTTAGTTTACTATAATGCAAATTCTTGGAATCACATGTTAATCAGTGCCCCCTGGGTTTGGCTGATTATTCAGGTAAATGGGGCATGTTATTCCCATCTTTCATTCAGCAATGTGCTGTCCATCTAACATCCCAAAGGACCTGGCCTCCCCCACTGCTGTGCAGACTGGTTCAAGTGCTGTGCTACATATCTGTAAGGAGAGGGAGCAATTGATCCCTGCCTCTAATTCCTCTTGCTGAAAGAACTGGGGGGTCATGAATCCTGAGGTTTCACATTGCCTTTAATTCTTACCCACTGACAACTGTTAATTCTCTGGTTTATATTGCTTTCAGCTGAAATGTGGGAACTGTGGTGAAGTTTCTGAAAAATGGCAATATCTGCGATTAATGGTATGTTTTTCTCTTGCAATCTGCATCAGAATAAAAAGTTAGAAAACCTGCCTCATGTGGAATTGATATTAGCATTAGTGATGTGATGAACTGTACATAAGATGAAATACTATTTCATCTAGTAGATATCATCAGCAGATACATACACCAGTATATGCAGTAGTATTTCGTAAGTAGAGGCATACATTCAGAAATACTCTTATATTTCATATTGGAAAAGTGTGCGGAGGCTGTTGATTGAAATATGCCACTGATATGCTGACTGTTGGTGTCAAAGTATTTGTTTTGTTTAAAAAGCCTTCTGTCTGTAAAATATATCAATTAAAACAGAATTTTAAAGTGATATTAGAGTAATGTTTTACCTCAGATAATTCTCTGATGCTAATCAAATTTTTTGGGAAAAGTTTAGCCAACTCAAGGTGAATTAAGTACACTGAATTAACATTTGGTTACTCTGATAAAGCAGAATAAAACTTGGCAAAAAAAAAAAAAAAGAGAAGGATTCTGTTCTTAGGAATCATCATCTCCTGATGATATTGAACAGAAAATACTGGATTAAAAGTAGTTTATCTAGGAAAACACATAGCTTTCTAGAGTGGATTAAAGCCTGAATGTTTTTGGCTCATGGAATGCCAGTTCTAAAAGGCAAATATGTTATCATGCAAAATCACAAATAGCCATTGCAGGATATGTGGAATAAACATTTTGCTCCACTTATTGGTAGTGGCTCAGTGGAGTTTTGTGGTGGATTGTGGTTCTGTACCTTGAGGAGGATGTGGACCATCAGGAGACACCAAGTCATGTTTTCTAGACCTCTGATCAATAGTGTTATGTAGGTGTTGCAAGGTAACAAGTAGGCACATGAAGGCAATCCTCAATCTTTTAAAAGATTTTAGAAGAAATAAAGGAAATGATCTGTTTTCCATGATGAACTCGCCAAGAAGCAGTAGAGCTTAAGTGTATTTACATATATTCCAGTTAGATATTAGGGGGGAAAAAAGCTTCCTAATAACAGTAACATTAGAAAAGGACCGTGGAGATTTTTTTATAAACGGAGAACTTCAAAAACTTGTTAGAAAGGATTTATCAAGAACGATGGAGCTGTTCCTGTTTAGGGCAGAAGTAATGTTAAGAATGTAATTTGAGATATTAATATTTATATGAACAGGTCATAACTATCCATTTAATTACCCATTATTGTATATCTAAAACAGGATTATTCTTTGATAATCATGGCTTTCTAAATTACAGATTTCTTTTCTAGTTTAAAACAGCTTTCTCATTGCAAAATCTGTTTGTAACTGTTCTTGTAAAATGTTTTACCTTTGCAAAGGTTTCCCTAGCTATACTGCAGTTTAAAATGATGTCTCCATTTTCTTTAGGATAGTGCTCCTCTGAAGGGAGGCAGAGGCAGTGCCACCATGGTGCAGAAATGCAAGCTGTGCTCCAGAGAGAACTCCATTGGTATGTGCTTAGACATTTACAGGGCATCTCCTGGGTTTATTTTTGTAGTAGCAGTTTTTGTTTGTAAGAGCTCCTCTTTTCCTTTTCCTCTACACTGGTGTTTGGACACACAGCAGATGCACACTTGTCATCATCATCATGTTCATGAAGGAGGCTGCAAGGTCAACTTGTTATCAACAACAACAATAAAAATCAATTTAAATCAACACAGCCTGGCTACAGGGACAACCTTTGCTAGCATATTAGGTTGCTAAAACTAACAACAGATTCATGATTTTTATTACTAACAACAGTAATATGAGCTGTTAATAACCATGGTCCCATTTAAAATAGTTTCTTCTTAAGTATAATAGGCAAAATAAAGTCTTTAATTGCTAACATTAGGTGTTAGCATTGTTTTAATTCTGATTGAGATATGAAACGTTTCTTACCTCTAAGAAAATTTCAGTCTGTTGTAACTACATGTTTAGTATCTGTCCAGGCCTAGACTGTTCTAGGCAGGAGTAGATTGGGAGGTCAGAGAGAGAGTTTCCCTAAATAAAAAATAGTTAAATAAATTTTAGCAAGTTACTTGCAAGTTCTGTGCTATTCTGTACAATTTCCACAAAGCCGGTTTCAGCGGTGATGCATAGACAAAAAAAAAGGACATGCATAGACAAAAAGCTGTAGAATGGTGATCCATGGATTCAGTCTTAATGCTTCTGTGTACTCAGGCCTCATGGTGATACCAGCTTTTTTGTATGAGCAAGGCTCGCATCCTTAATGTTATTTTACAAAACATACATTGCTATTTTCTTTATCAGCTGGGTACCAAGACCCTACTAACCAAGACCATAAATTTCTTGGGTATAGTGACAAGAATTGAGTTCTACCCTTTGAGGGACTAAGTAGAAGAACTGCTTGGTTGTTTTGTTTCTTTTACTTTGTATAAAAAGATAATTTTCCAAAGGAAAGATAATTTTCCAAAGGAGAAGAGCCTGGTCTTCAGTTTCTGCTGAATAAAATTCTGAAGATGTAATGCTATTCACTTTTTTTTTTAGATATTTTAAGTCAGAGCATCAAGCCTTACAATGTAAGTTTGTTTTCTTTTTATATAACAAGTGAAAGATAAATAAGGATTAATGATATTTTAAGATTTCTATTATTTGCCATCACATTCCTCCTTGAACTACACAAAAAGCAAGTATGCTCCATAATATAAATTTGTTTCCTGCAGAATCTTGCATACAATCTAAAGAAGCAACAAAAAATGCATTTAACAGTAGCTTATTAATGATTTTACCCTTTCTACTTCAGTCTGATGGAATAATCTATGATACATTTCACAAGCAAAACTACAACAAAAAAACTGTACCATTCAAATTAAAGGCAATTATACTGGCTGTACTCATTTCCTTTTGAAGGCTTCCTCCTGGCAGATTATTTAAGAAATTCTAGTTAATTATCATCTATTAAACGAGCCTGAGGAGTTTACTATCACTTGGGACATTAGAGTTGATAGAAAAGCAATTTATTCCTAGACTAATACTTGCCACTGTCTTTATTAAAGAAAACTTACAGCATTCTCACTTGATTCTAGGCTGAAGACAGTGAGAAATTCAAAACAATAGTAGAGTTTGAATGCCGTGGCCTGGAACCAGTTGACTTTCAACCACAGGTAAATTCTTATTCATGACCCATTTCTCAGTTTTTAAGACCATTTCTAATAGATTTTAGAGTGATATCACACACTACTTTGAAATAATTCCACTATTCTGGGAATGTCCCAGACCTCTCCAGTTTTTCTTTTTCTCCAGTTATTTTGCTTCATCCTACTCCATAAATCACAAACTCTCTAATAGCTCTCAAGTTCTTTGTGCCTGTGTCCCAGTAACTGCTAAAATTAAACACTCTTTGTAGTTTCATTCAGGTTGCCTTACAAGTGACTTAGCACTGCTCACCTGAACTGATCTGAAAGCTTTTCATTGCAAAGGTGGTTGCAAAAGGGTGCCTTTCCCAAAGAGGAATAACCCAAATGCATAGTTAGCTGGCCACATTTAGAAGAGCTCCACTTCCGTATGTTATAAATAAATGAAGTTCAGATTATAAATTTCCTTCAGTATACGGTCTCTAAATAAAATCAAATTCTCTTGGAGCTGTTACAACATCAAAGCCATAGGAAATGAACATTATGATATTTCTATTTGAATTGGCAGACCAAGACAAATGAATGATTCCTTCAGGACCAAGCCACCCTTCAGCAACTTATCTGCTTGTGCATGGTCGTGCTATATGCAACTAACTCCCTATAACATTTAACCTATTATTCCAGTAGGATTAGGTGTAAATAGACTGACAAATATAAACCTGTCTTATCCTTCCTCAGACTAAAACACTGTGCTAAGAAACAGACCAAAAAGTTGATCCTGCAAGGAATTAGATATAAATAAAAAGGCTACTGCTTTCTGCTGCAGGAAGACTTTGTTAGGTTTTCAATTGTTTGCTTGTTTTGAAATTAAAACAATCTTTTTGAATAGAACGTTTATTTCTGTTTGAAATCTTTGTAAGCTAGACCTAGAAAATGCTCTGAAAGTAAAGTCAGAGATGAAAAAAAAAAGAGGTAGGAGATGTTTATAGATTTGCATCCTACCTCCCAATTTTACTTTGGTCAGTCAACTCATGTCCAAGAATTCACATCCAAGCCATCCTAGCTTCTGCACAGTCTTAGATGTGGCTCATGATTAACACCTAGCAGGACTGGCCACAGCATTTTTTTCTTTTCTGAGAGGCATAATACAAACCTACTTGAAGGCAGTTAAAATAGCTAAATGGCTGTATTTGTCTCATCTTCATTGTTTTGATAGTAGTCTTCTCAAAAAGAAAAAATAAAATCACTTGAGTCTGAAAGAGGATAAAATATCCTTTGATTCTCTGATATAAAATTTTCACTGGATAAGAACCACTTTTCATCCAATTCTTCATGCTTTTTGTCTAGTGTGCTTGAGTAAATAAATCTACTGTGGCTTTGGGAGTTTGCTTTCAGATTGTTTTGCTCCTTTCTTCTCCTGTCATCCCACAAGCAAATGCTTCAACTAAAAGAAAAAAAAAAGTTTCTTCATAAAATTAGGTTTTTTTCAGCTTCCTTGGGGGCAAAAACAATTATATTGTAACATAGTGGATTGTCATGTTTTTATTTTGTTACCGAAGTTACACTTTAGCAGTTGGTCCTTCACCCATCAGCAGAGGGCAGACAAATCTGCATTTCCCAGATGTCTTCAACAGAGATTAAATTAAGTATTTACTCTGACGCCAAAGCTGTAAGAATGCAAGTCCCAATGTGCAGGCTTGGTACAGAAGCTTGTAATTCCAGTCACATGGCTTCTTGCTGCTTGGAGTGCTGGTAAATATTGCCAGGTGGCAAAAGCCCAGCTTTATACCCCTGAGCAGAATGCAGTTTGAGCATTCTTTCCACCTTTTTTTAGTGGAAATCCAAAAAAAAAAAAGTTACTTTCAATATGTTTCAGTAATGATCATTAGTTCTTTTCTTGGTACAGTTCCTTCTTAAAAACTTACTGCAACTGTGTTTGCAGGCAGGATTTGCTGCTGAAGGTGCAGAATCTGGCACACCTTTCAATGACATAAACTTGTTAGAAAAGGTATGTTGTCTTATTTTCATTAGTAAATCTAACTAGCTGGCTTGCTTTCCCCAAATGATGTACTCCCAAATACACACCCTGTGCATGCAAGAAGCTAGTTTTGGTATTTCGTGTAGCTACAGGAAGATCATAAATGGGGAGAGCAACTATCAAATATGAATAACAAGTTTTATTAGCCTAATTTAAGAAGTACATGTTTTATGTCTCAGCAGCAGCCAAAGGTAGAGATGCAATTTCTCTTTCAAGTCTTTTTGCCCAAAGGGCAAGATACTGAACTACTATGTGATTGGGGACCCTCAGAGTAGTGAATTGATTTTTTTTTTTCTAAGGTGATATCTGCACTTTTTCCTCTGCATGGAGATATTAAACAGTAAGATAAGCACTGTCCTTCAGAGCTTGGAATGACTACTGCAGTATTGCAAATCTTCCTTGGCTGTGCACAAGAATCTCAAGGTCAAATCTGCCCCTTGTATCCCACTTGGCATGGATCAGCTTGTCTGCTGAAACACCTGACTAGGATATTGTAAGCAATAGATAATCCTTTCATCTGTCATGTTTGCTGCCTTGCCCATTACAGGCTATGGGCTACATACAAAGAAAAATTGTTAAATTTAAACACTGGGATTAAATTCAGTTTAATTTCAAGACAGTACTCTTGTTTTTCTTAGGAATTAAAACTTAGCTTAGTGATTGTACAATGCTTTCTAAAGTATAAGACCCAAACTTTAAGTAAGGCTTAGTTTCAGTTTGAATTCCAGGCTCTGATTTAGACACAATATTACTTTCTTCCTTCTCTAATAATGTGAAATCTTAATTTCTGTAGGATTGGAATGACTACGATGAAAAAACAAAGGAATCTGTTGGAATCTATGAAGTTACCCATAAGTTTGTAAAATGCTGAAGCTCACAGCTCTTAACAAACCTTGGCATGCTCCTCTTCAAGGAAGAAGTTGTAACATTAGAGAAGTCATTTCCTTGGAGTTATGTTTCACACAGCTGTACTACAGAAGTGGAAGTTTAAGTTTTACTTACTGTCACCAGAACATAATAAAGTATTTCCCACAGAACACTCTGAGATAACCTGAGTGCAAAACGGAAATCTGATATATGCTTGACTGAACTGTGCCAGCTTCTTAATGTTGTCCTTCTCAGGAACAGCAGGA